ATCTTCCTACTTTCCAAGGCCCTAAGTATGCTCCATTTTACCTGTTCACTCTACTCCACTCTGCCTTACCATTTTTATTAAGATCTGCTCAGCCTACTCATCCCCAAAGACATGCTATTGTCACTTTACATCCATGAGGTGAGTTTCAAGGTTTTCCCACTAGATATTCCCATACAGACTTTTCAGCTTCATCTGATCTGCTTTCTATCTACCACACATGTGCCTTATATTTCCACAGCTTAGGAGCCAAAGTTCAAAAGTTATATTTATGCATAACATTTTAACTATCCCCTCAGCTGTACCCTGGGAAGATATAAAAATATTAATATTTAATTGACTGAAAATAAACATTTTTCAGTATTATTAAAATGATGACTATGACTTTATTAAACTACACAATCAGTCTGAAAATGAATCCTTAGTTACATGTGAAACAAGTTATCCATAAACTGAGGTGGGAAACAAGTGATTGCAATTACCGGGGGAAAGTCGTAGAAGTTGATCTAGATCTGTCAGTTTAAGATGATGATACATTTTTGGAAAGTCATATTGGTCAAAAAATTAAACATTTTAGTAGTTTTCAATAAGAATTCTTCCCAAGTACTGGTTTAACTCTTGTTTCATTGCCTTTCCTAATGTTTAGTTGCTGGCTGTGGAGAGAATTACTTTTCGTCCACTGCTCCCAAATCATGGTCCCACGTAATTCAAACTTTCTATGATGAAGTTAAAGATTTTGAATTTGGATTAGGTGACACTCGAGCAAATGCTAAAACTGGCCATTATACCCAGGTAAAAATACATGACAAGAGCTTAATTTTTCCTCTTCCTCTGTTATTCCTGGAGATACCAAGCACATATCTGAGATATGAGAGTTGAGTTGTATGTAGGAAACCTTCCCTGCATTATGAAGCATATTTTACTCATTCATAGATACAAGTACATTCTATTATTTCTTGTGTATTCACCCACACCAACCAGGCCTTGTCACTCTGGATTTATCACAATAGATTCTGGTAACTGCTCTTGGATAAAGAAATAGATTAAAGTAATAGATTAATTATAATTTTAAAAACACTTAACCATGTTTAAGCAAAAGAAAGCCTACAGATACTTTCTCTGGGTCAGTCACAGGATAAAATGTTAAAGAAAACAAATGTAAAACTTTTTTAAAAAGAAACCAATAAGAAACAGTATGATTTTATACATACATTATTTTTTACATTATTGATATTTTTGCATTTTTAGCTAAACTTAAAACTTATGAAAATGGACATATGCACAAAAAACACAAGGTCAACAAAATTTCCTCTTTTCTTCCCTTCAAAAATTGTATTGTGCTTGGGTTCCTTTTGTTTATGTCCAATATGCCCCTGTTACATCTTTATGAATTCTACAAATGATGCACTACTTTAACAAATGTAACATAAATGTGTAAAGCAGCCTTTAACTTTAAATGAAGCCCTATAACTGGAAATAATTTTTAAAAGGAATTTTCATCAAGTTTAGATAGAAATCTTAAAAATATGAAGCCAATATTTTTCAGTTTTTTAAATTGCTGCCATTGATAACTTTTAATTAGCAAATAACCAAAAAGCCACATAAGTGTGAAAACTATACATTTAATTTAAGTGATTTTATTTTACACTTTCTCCTTGCAGCTTGTCTGGGCGTCTTCCCACCAGCTTGGCTGTGCAGTAGCTCACTGTCCTCACCGGAAGTACAAATATTTCTACGTTTGCCATTACTGCCCTGCGTGAGTACAGCATGGGGACTGCTTCAGGCCATGGTGGGCCAAGAAACCTGAACTTAGACTAGGATCCAACCTTTTTAGGTCTCCTGGAGTTCTAGGGTAACTTCACACAGGCTTCAGAAAGAATACGAAGCCCAGAGAAAGACAGGAAAGGGGAAGCGCTGTGTCCTGAAGAGTGACAAAGCCGTGGCGGGGAGAGCTCGGCTCTGTAGACCACAGACTCAGGACAGCATTAGCTTCGTTGTTTATTTGCTGTGTGGTATTCAGTTCACCAAGAAATCACTCAGATGTGCTTCTCACTTATCTGCAAAGTAGCAAGGGCACCGATTTTCTTTCAGGGGTTTTTGTGAGGACTAAACATCATAGATTATGTTATGTGTCAAGCATAGCTCATGGCACAGTAATTGATTCTCAATAGAAAAAAAAAATGCTTCTAACAAAGAAATAAAAACATAAGAATCGCACTACAATCTGGTCATCCGGGTTCCAGGGCCCTTTGTCTACTGTGTAGCAGGCATGGCGGTGCCAGGAATCCAAGCATTCAGGAGACTGAGGCAGGATGATTCTGAAGTTGAGGCCAGCCTGGGCAACATAAGAAAACCCTGCCTCAAAAAGAAAGAAAGAACAAAAGAGCTATTGAAGCATTAACTCCAATCTTCTGTGTAT